AAAAATTAGGTACAGTCTACTTACGTGAGAAATTTTTTGACCCGTATTTTCTGATTTCTCGATTTATAATTTTTGTAGGCCCTGCGGCTCCTTGATATTGACCATAAAATTTCGTTTTGAGCAAATATCTCCGAAACTGTAACCCGTAAACAAGACAATAAAGATGTGGACCAATTGATAAACTTTTAACAAATGTTTTCTTCCTTTAATTATTAATTTCTACAAAAAATCTCGTTTATGATACTTTCTTTAGAAGGTAAACGGATAATTGAAAATTTTTTAAATTACATAATTTATTAAAATCCTTGAGAGAAAATAAGGTGACAGCGAAATCACGAATTGACAACTATCACTCAATCTTTTGAATTATCTTCACAGCTACCATTTACATTTCATGAATTTATACTTTTTCAAGTTTGTCAATGGTAGTACACTGCATCTTTAGCAACGTTTTCTGTAAAATTAAACTTCAAATGAAAAAGTAAAGAATAAAATTCAAATACATGGAAAAACTATTGTATTAATAATGTTCATATAGACTATCTACAACCCCATATAAATTTTATTAATGTCGCCTTTACGTTTTCGAAGATATTTGCAAAATACAAAGTTGTAAGCCCAATTTCAAGGGGCCCCAAAAAATAAAACATTGGGAAAACAAAAAAATACGGTCGAATAATTTCTCACGCAGATAATATACCCAATTGCTTTCCTAGTATTTCTCAACTACTCAGTATATTTAGATATTTTCTCCTAGTAAAGTTTCAGTGAAAAATTTGTTGTGCATAAAAAAATTGTGTAAACGTCAAGCAGAGAAACAAATGATTGAAAATGTGAATTTGCTTTCTAATAGCGATGTTATTTATATAACGTAACAAAAACAAAGGAAGACAAATAGACTATAGGCATGTTATCTTTTATTTTCGAGTAAAGAACGCCAAAAATAATTTATTAAATATTTCTCATATGAGGTAATTCAAAAATTTCCAAACAAATTTATCAATCTGTTAATAAATTACTCAATTGTTATTTAAAATATTTATTATTAAATATTGTAAGAGTTGAATAATAAAGAGCAAATATAAATACATTCATTATATAATTATATAATTTTACATTTATTATATTATATTATTCGATAGTAGTAAATAATTAATTATACATATACAGTGTGTCCAATGAAGTCGGCACCATATGGGATACTTTTTTATTATTGGTTATATTAAAAAAAGTTAATCTTGATAAACTGCATGGCCTAAAACCCAAAATGAAATAATCAGATTTCAATTTTTTCCAGTCGTATACGAGGTTTGTCGAAAAATGTAAATTTTGTCCAAAAGTAAAGTACCTTTATTTTTTACAATATCGACAATCGTTATTAAGCTTAGTTGATCCTAATAGAAAACTACGCTCAGGTATCCAATATTATCCATCTACCATTAAAAAACGGATTTTGTTATTTTTACAAACACTTCTCTGTATTACCATCGACAATTTACGTCTAGAGATCGACATTAAATCTAGGATGCATTGACGAACAAATTAATTCAATACAATACCTAAATGTTTTATGATTTGCAAAATTAAATTATAATTTATTTGTTTGTTTCATACTATGTATATATACCCAAAAATTATTAAAGATTATTTTTAATTGTAGATGGACAATATTGGAAATCTGACCGTAGTTTTCTATTAGGATCAACTTTTCTTAATAACGATTGTCGATATTGTAAAAAATAAAGGTACTCTTGAGCAAAAACATTTTTCAACAAACCTCGTATACGACTGAAAAAAATTGAAATGTGATTATTTCATTGGCTTTTAGGCCTTTTTATTAAGAATAACTTTTTGTCATAAAACCAATAATAAATGTAAAGGTATGTATCACCTTACCTTTTGTTAATAATAATTATTCATTTAAATGTAAATATTTTTTATAAGCTCTTGATATAGTTTAAGCAAGTTTTAATTTTTAGGAGTAGTGGGGGCCATTGATGGAACGAATATAAAATTCAAAGCCCCCCTTGAGCAGCAAGATAGCTACATCGATAAAAACGATACTCATAGTATTAAGCTCCAAGCAATATGCACATCACAAAAAATTTTTATCAATATAATGGCTGGTTTCCCAGGATCCGCTCATGATTCTCGGGTAATTATTCTTTTCCTGTGTATAGGTATATAGTCATGTACGTATATAAAAAGGTCTTAAAAGGCTGCCCCTTTGGAACTTTATGTTACAAGTATACCTATACAGAACCGTCTATGTCAATAATGAGGTATCTGTTGCCAAACTGGTTTGGATTTTAGCAGTAATTGAGGGGAATAACTTAAAATAACCTAAGGGTGGGGTACTACGTTAATATGCACATGACTCTAACTATATTTGAAGTTCAAAATTTCCGTGACTCATATCATAAGGCACATTCTGTTAATTTTGAAAAAAAGTTTCAGTACTATCTTTACAGGTCTTTAAAAATTCAGAAATTTACCAGGAACTATTAAGAGGGAACAAAAGAAAGTATTTTCCTACAGAAAATTATCATCTTATTGGTGACAAAGCTTACCCATTAATGGATTGGCTAATGAAACCTTATTTAGGGTAAAATCCTTTTTTTATAATAATTATTGAACACATGTAAATGGTATTTCTTTTTTTAGAGATGATAGACATCTGACGAGACAACAAAGAGCTCACAATTTAGCACACAGTCAGACAAGAATACGGATAGAACATTGTTTTGGACTTTTAAAAGGCAGGTGGCTCATATTACAATATGTGAATGTAAGGACAATAGAAAAGGCTGTGAAAATAATTACTGCATGTTGTGTGTTGCATAACTTCTGCTACTTAAATGGAGACACGTGGGATGAAGGATTAATTGATGAGGATGAGACCGATGGTGAATATGATGGTGATGTGGAGCAGACTGGGATGAAAAAAAGGGGTCAGATTTCTCAATTATTTAGAAAACTTTTTGTGCTTTGTAATAATAGATATGAATAAACAGATTGAAATCAAGTACTTGTTCGACTTTAATGATGGATAATAATTTATAAAAAAGGGGGATGAGTTAAGTTCAATAAAAGCGTAACATTGCTAATAAGATATAATTGGTGCTATATATCAAACTTACACCATTAAACAAATATTCATATATATGTATAAACAAAACAAACATTGAACTTCGTGCAGACATAAATATTGCACCAAATAACAAAACGAGTATTAAGCTTTAAGCGAAACAAATGTTATTAAACAAATTAAATCACTCTTCTTAGGAACTATTGACAAAAATAATTGATCTATATGTGTAAAGCTAAACAAAAAAAAAAAAAAAA